GCTCGTGCCAGGGTGGCCGGCCCTGTGCCTCAGTTCACTGGGACAGACAGAGGGACAGTGAGGACACGCTGGCAGCGTCCCGCCAGCAGTTAACAGTGCAAATACATACACAGAGTCAATACATGCAGAAATTTGAAAAAAAAAATTTAAACAGGGATTCCAAACCTATTTTTTTACACACTAATAAATAGCATCCTTTTTTTTTTAATGATGGCTTTTTCAGCGACTAATTAGGAACGAGGACACATGAATCTGGTTCATTTTTAGCCTAACATATTTATTGCTATCAGGAGTTGCTGCCTATATCTTTCAACGCCTTGGCTTTATTGGCTGAGACGTCGACTTCCAAAGATGCTCGCATTGTGGGGATGCCGTGCATTTGTGTGAGCTCTTTTCTTTGACGTTATTTTTTTTTTCCCCATTTGCGTGTGGACTTTATGGAATTATTTTTTTTTTTAAAAATCTGCTCCTGGTTCAGGTTCCTTCAAGGACGGACACAAACAACTCTGCGTCCTGCTCAGACAACTGTCTCCAGGGCCATGGCACTTCATCCTGGAGGCTCTTGGTGGTTCCCGCAGTGCCCAGTCTTCCCAGTAACACCAATTAGGATATTTCAGCTAGTGACTTTTTTTTTGCTTTTTTTTTTTTAAGGAAGTGTTTGAGCAGATTCCCCGCAGTCTGCTGTGTTTAGTCAAGGCTTTAGGGCTGTCTTTAACATGATGCTTTGTGAAAGTGATTTGAGTGAGGTTTGGTTTGGTTTTCCTGCAACCGCATCCGAAGGGGGAAATGGCCTTGCTGAGGTCGGGAATACCCAGCAGACACAGAGCGAAGAGGTCTGTAGACCAGTGATGCTCCAGGGTCCGCATACCGGCTCTCTCCCGCTCCGTCTCACTGCAGCCCAGGTGCTGGCCAGAGCCTGGATCTCTGTACCGGGTTTGCAGGCAGCATCTCCCTGCTGAGCTCTGCCCGAGGCCAGGCGGGAGGGGAGGGAAGAAATGCCATGGTGCCGCTGGGACAGAGCCTCCCTGGGATGCAGCCTTGGTCCTGGGTCTCATCCTTGTTTCTTCCCCATTAAGCCAGACAGGTCTGGTCCGCAGTCGCCCGGCACGGGGGTCACAGGCTGAGCCTGTAGGGCACCCGCAGCCCAGTGCCCAGCTCCGTTCCTTCTCCCTTGTGGCCGGTCTCTCCCAGGAGCAGTTTCAGGTCACCACTAAAGCAGCCTGAGCACGGGGCCGAGGGAGCCCCATGTGCCCTGCTTACCCCTCCTGCGTGCCATTGCCTTGCTGCGGCCCTGGACCCGCCGGGAGGAGTGGAGCAAGCCCTGCTGATGATCGGCGAGGACCAGGAACGAGTGCTGCTCGGGCACCGGCCACGCAGGCAGGTACCGCCAGTGAGGATGGGGGTGGCAGGACCCCAAAGATGGGATCCGCTGGGCCAGAGAGTATCAGGGAGACCTGGATACCCGCATTTGCCCCATTGGATTTCATTTTTGATGTCTTCTTCTCTGGTCTTCATCATACCGTACTGAGTGCTGCCTCCCAGGGGTCAGAGGCCACCCCTAGCTGGACTGTCACATCCACATTGGAAGATAATTAGCAATAATGAACTTTGAGGCAATGGTAACTGGAATACCCAGGCTGCACATGGGACACTTATGCAATCAGGTTCCTCAACCATCAGTCTCCTCCTGGTCGGCTTCTCTTCCAGCACCTCCATACCTGTTATCTACAGCAAACCTACGTGTACAGTATATATAGACCTTGTACGACGTAACAGTAGTGAGTGGCTATTGGAGTGGCAACACCCACTGATTTCAATGTACCCTTTAATCTTATTTATTTGCTTCTAATTTATATATATATATAAATATATATAAAATTATTTTGCTTAAATTTCTATGGTACACAATAGATGAAAAATAACGAAGACAGAAGTGTCTGTCTGAGTTTTTGTAGCACGAGTACGATTTCCCTAGGCTTCTCCGGGAGGTAGGGCATAGGAGTGATGGTGACTGAGTAATTCCCAAAGTAGAGAAGCAACATTTTGCTCCAAAGCTGGATGCGATTGCATTCAAAAGGTGTTACAAAGATAGTCCCTTCTAGAAACGATGCATTTGGGGTTTGAAGGGCGGCTCTTGGTATCCCCTGCATTCAGGAGTGTGGTCTTCCAGACTCAGCTCTCTGGCTGTTACAGCAGCCGGTCTGGCGTCTTCGCTCCTTCCAGACCCTTCCTGGAGGTTTGACCATGGCTCCATAAAGCTGGTGCAGCTCTTAAATGATCCAAACTTCTGCATTTGGTGTGGGATGCAGCCTGTGGAGAGCTGCCAGGTGTCCTGGCCCCAGGGCGTGCGGATTTCCTTCAGGCTTTCACCTGTCTGGGAGAGCAGAGGATGCTCCGCACTAAACCTTCGTGCCGCTGGCTTGGTTTGTGACGGCAACCAAAGTTGCCCGGAGGAGTTTTGTTCCACTCACGGCTTGAATAGGCTTTGTAAAACGGGCTAGAAACTGAGCTCTTCAAAATGCCTTATTTTCCTTGTTTGCTTTGTCAATGCAAGTGTTAACCCGAGAGCTTGGAGAGGTGGGAAGCTCCTGCACAGGCTGTTCCCAAACGAGGATCCGAGCGTTCCCGTAGCGGAGGAGAGCGGGGAGTGAGATGTTGCTCAGTAAGTGGTGGCACCAAGGATCCTGCTGGGCTCTGGGACCCCGAGAGGTCCTCTCTGATGTAGCCCCCATTGCTGCATCTGTCTAGGAATCACCATCACGGACCTGCACAGCTTAGCAGAGCTCGGGGGAGTGTGAGGAGCATCCCCCAAAACAGAAATCCCCCAATTTTTAGGCTAATTTTAAAAATTGCTGTATCTTCCAGAGATCATCTAGCGGCAACACTTAATCAGAGCACCATCTCCTGGTCTTTCTGTTCCCCCTCGCAGAGGATTTTAATGTCATTCCACTGTAAATGCTGTTGAATGTATTTCTTTTTGAACAACATATTGTGAGTGATCCCTCTTCTACACAGTAATAAAACTTGGATTCGGGAGTTTTAAAAGGCGCAGTGCTGAGGTTGTCACTTGCTCCTCAAGGCTGCAGGTGGGGGTCCTGGAGGAACCCCAAGGTCGGTGAGCTCTGGGCATGCACGGGGGCCTGGGCACGTGGTGGATGGCAGATGAGGTGGCCAGGGAAGGGACCACAGGAGGTGGCCCAGAGGAGGAGACCTAGGAGAGGAGATGGGGAGATGGACTAGGGAAGGTTGTCCAAAGGAGGAGGATGCCCGGGGAGGAGGACTATGGGAGGTGGCCCAGAGAACGTGGAGGTCCAGGGAAGGGGTTGTTCAGGGAAGGAGGAGGGTCATGGGAGAGGTTGCCCAGAGGAGGAGATGGTCCAGGGAAGGTGGTTCGGGGGGGAGGAGGGCTGGGGAGGAGGTGGCCCAGCAGAAGTTCTCCAAGGCAGGAGATCTCCAAGGGAAGATTGCCCAGGTGAGGAGGGCCAGGAAAGCAGGAAGATGAGAGGTGGCCCAGGGGTAGGTACCCATTGAAGGACGTTGTCCAGGAGAGACCAGGGAGCGATGAGATCCAGGGAGATGTCCCAGTGGAGGTTGGCCAAGGGAGAAGATGGCTGCCCAGGAGAGAAGGTCCAGGGAAGGAGAGACAGGAGAGGTGGCCCAGGGGTGGGTGCCCAGGGAAGGAGTTTCTCTGGAGATAGTGGGAAGGAGATGGCCCAGGGGACATTGTCCGGGGCAGGAGGTGATGAAGAGTAGGTGGCCCAGGAGAGGAGACACAGGGGAGGTGGAGTAGGCTCCAGGCAGGGACTGTGGAGGTGGTTAGGGGAAGCCCGGGGCAGGCTGAGACTGGCCAGCCGCTGCCGGCCCAGCCGCTGCGGCGTTGCCAGGTGACAGGCACACACACCACTGCCTGTCCTGCCGGCTGTCCTGCCTGCTGTCCTGCCTGCCACAGCCCAGCTCAGCCAGGTGAGCACAGGTTGGGGCTGGGGTGGGGGACCCCAGCACCGGGACCTGCTCGGCCCATGCTGGCAGCCTGCCCGGTGGCAGGGAGGAGCCTCCCTGCCTGCTCTGGGTGCAGGCAGCGGGGTGCCGGGCACACAGCACCGGGGCCGAGGGCCTGGCAGCTCCTGGGTGCAGCAGGCGTGCTGGCATCTCGACTTTAATGAAAGGCAAACCTCTGTGCCCTGCAGTGCCTGCAAATCTACCCATCACCCCCGCAGTGTGGCCCTCAGCCTGGCACTGCCGCTCTGGGAGGTGGGTTCTTGGCATGTTCACTCTGAAGCCTAATGAGTTCACAGTGCCTTTTAGAGCATGTTACCCTCACCTTGTGTTGCAGGCCCAGGTGGCAGACATGGAGCGGGAGGAGGCTGGCTTCAAAGCCCAGAAACGCAGTAAGGCTCACGCTGTGCTTGGTGCTGCACCCAGGGCATGGGGGTGTCCGGCTCTCACCCAGTCCCAGACCAACACGCCCATGCTGCTGGGGATGCCACTCCGTAGCAGAGCAGTCTGCAAGCCCAGGGTGCAAGAAGCCAGGGCAGGTGCGTGCTGCCCTCCCTGCCTGTCCCCACAGGAGTGTCTGCCCAACACGGGGGATTTTGCCTCCCCAGGGCTTTGATACCTGCTGCTCTGTCCTGACCAGCAGCACCTCTTTCCTCCTCCTTGCAGACCTGGAGCCAGGGAAGCAGCTGGGGTTTGCAGGATCCTGGGCAAGGGAATGCTGGGACCATGGGCTGGACCCTGCTGATGCCCCGCTCAGCCAGGTGCGGGGCGCAGGGAGTGAGGGGTTCACAGCATGGGGCTGAGATGTGGGGGTGCAGTGGGACCACCCAGGGGATGGCGCAGCACCAACACCGCAGTTCTGCCATTTCCCACCCCTCCCGGTGCACTGAAGTTCCATGAACGCCGCTCAGCGGCAG